TCATGACCTTCCCTTCACAATTTTGGGTGATTACATTTTTAACTAGTCCTGAAATTTAAATTATATCTTTGAATAGCTCTATTTGATTTATCACATATATATGATACCTTTTGAATCTCCAGTGCTAAAAAAGAGAGAATGTCAGCATACATCCACTACCATCTGCTTCTTTCTCATTTAAATTTTGGTAGTTATATTATTTCTATGTTTCATATTTCTTTTACCATAATGGCCACAGGGTTGCATTTTTTTCTTTATCCTAGAATCAGATGGCTCCAGTAGCCTCTCTAATTTGCTGTCTTACTCCATTTTCCTCTTTTTCAGATGAAACTTAGCCTCTAATTTTCAAGAAATTTCAAACTACTTCAAGAAAACTTTCTTGGAACAATATTCTCTGAGTACTTATATGTTCAAAAGTGTTTTCCTGTGGCTTTTATATGCAAATGATTGTTTAACTGGGTATAAAATTCTTGGTTCATGCTTTTCCTAAGATCTTCCCAGGCATCACTATGTGCTAGTTATATACTATATGCTAGTTATATACTGTATGCTATATGCTAGTTATCTACTCTGGAGAATTATGTGAACAATTGACAGAAGAACAAGAGAGGAGATTTTTAAAAATCATAAAATCTACAATAAATCCCCCTATAGCAAAGCATTTCAAAACAACATCCAGTAAACCTCAGTTATATCTAAAATCATTATTGTAGCATATCATGTGATAATGATATCTATAACCATGTCCCAGGGTGTTAAGAAAAGTGTAAATTGCTTTCAGTGTTAAAATTCAAGAAAATGTAAATTTGTTTACAAATATCTTTCCACTAATTAAAAAGTCTAATATTTTAAACATCTTGCAATTTTAGGTAATTAAAGTTTGGTTCTCTGACATTTATTTCTTAAAGACTTAAGGAAAATATGATTCTTCTCCTATAGCAGTTCTCAGTGGGAGAACACGTATGTCATATTTACTGGAGAAGATTTTTAAACAGATGATTATACCACTCCCTCCCTGCCATTTTCATTTGAAAGTTTGTAATTTTATACAAAATGAAATATGATAGAAGCAGATGGGAACATCGTTGGACTAAATTTTTCAAAGCAGGCTTCTTGATGAAGTGACTCTTGAGCTGGATAGATTTTTGTCAAGGTAGAGGGAAAGGGAGATTATTTGTAGATTCTGGAAAAGTATATGTTGGTCAGAAAGTGTCACATAGTTAGTACCACTTGTAAGACCTCTATTTATAGTGTTGCTGCTTTTTCTGATTGATCTAATATATGAGTTGTGCACCTGCCTTTGTCCAGAGGCAGCATTTTCTATATCTGAGAATATGAATCAGCAGGGCTGACAGCAAATGAAGTTATTTTTTTTCCATCAGTTATGTGATTAGAGCACTTGAAACAGGATAAATTCCAAAATGCTATCTTAACCTGATTTCCATTCAGACTGGAGATTGGTTTAAAAGAATCACTGAATGATTCTCAGTCTAGATCTCTTGAGAGTTTCTGTCAAGTATGGGTCTAGGACTTCTGAGAAGCTCTGAGAAAATTTTCTTATGAGAAAAAACAGTCAGATTTGCTTTCCGTTAACTGCTCAGCACAATTTTTATTGCTCTGGGTATGTGGGGTGTGTTAGGGGAAATATTTAATGACAGATGTGCGTGTTTTCTTTTAATATTAAAGAAAAATAGTTACCTAAACCTTGGCATATTTATATTTTAGTAGTTCCTGTGTGGAAATTCTGTTCTAAAGGTTCCAAGATCTGTGTTAAACACATGGAGATTTTAAAACAGGAGCAAATTAACCCATGCCTTTCAGACACTCAGAATCTTTACAGTAATTTCTAGTCTTTTCTGTTTCCTAAGATATAGTTAAAGATATTTTATATTCTTTCTGTAAGGCGAGTGCAGAGAAAAAGAGAGTGAGCTGGGCAGTCAAGCAAGAAAAGGGAAATTTATTAGAGGGAAAAGAGAGAGTGACTGGCTCTTAAGGAGAACCAGTATCCTTCCTTTCTGACAGGGTCCTTCTTATACCCCACCGCTGAAAAATTCTCTGAAGGGAAGGTTAATTTTTAGCCTGTAGTTGAGTCCTTAATTTTTAGCCCGTAGTTGAGTCCTGTGGTCACGTAGCCGGAGGTCTGGAATCTGGTGGTCTTGCAGCTTTGAGAAGATAGGTGCCAGTGAGAAAACAGAATACCATTTGGGCAATTTGGTCAGTCTCACGGATCACAGTGATTTTATTCTTTGTTTGTGAGGTCAACATAATGAGCCATCTTATCAATGAGACCCCATGTGGGCCCTATCTCTTTCGTTCTTTATTCAGCAAACATTTATTGAGCATTGTGAATTGGGGAAACACAGGTTTATAAAATACCTCTCATACCTTCCAAGAATCCATGGAAGCAGTTGTCTACAGACACCAAATCCATAGGAACTTTGGGAAGTACATAGAACTAAGGGGGAGCTCTGTGATGTGTTTGGCATTTCCTGGCCTCAGGGCTCCTTGAGCATCCAGCTTCTCTTGCTCAAAGTTTGTGGCCTCCCTGTGTATATCATTAATAAGTCAGGCCTGTGGTGTGTCCTTCTCATTGCCTATTTACCTTCTAATCAGTTCTTACTCATATAAGAAAATGTAAAATTTGTCATTTATACTAGTTTATGAAGTGTTTTTAATCCTGGGATTTGTGGACAGAGGAATTAAGACAAATTGCAGCTCTGAGCTTTATTAACTATGTGACATTAGGCTCTTAATCCGATCTGTAAAACAGAAATAGTATGAAGGATCCTTAAGAAGACTAAATGAGGTAATGTAAGCAAAGGACTTTGCAGAGGGCCTGACATATGATAACTGTCAATAATTATGTGTATGTGGCATATATTCCTCTCACAATGACTGTTTTTAATAAACTGTGAAATCCTTAAAAGCAGGGAGAAAGTCCACTCAGTTTTTTTGAGGGTTGGAGACAGTCTGTTCCATGAGATAGTAATGAACAAATGTCTGTTCAATGAGGGAATGTTAATAAATTATGCTGCTTAGATCTTCAAGAGAAAGCATGTTCTTTCACGGTTCCAAGGACATGGGTGATGCCTTATTTCTTATAACCAGCAGTGTCAGCTAGAGTACACATTAAGTTGGGTGCTGAGTTTGAAAGACCAACCTAGACAGCATATTAAAAAGCAGAGACATTACTTTGCCAACAAAGGTCCGTCTAGTCAAGGCTATGGTTTTTCCAGTGGTCATGTATGGATGTGAGAGTTGGACTGTGAAGAAAGCTGAGCACTGAAGAAATGATGCTTTTGAACTGTGGTGTTGGAGAAGACTCTTGAGTGTCCCTTAGACTGCAAGGAGATCCAACCAGTCCATCCTAAAGGAGATCAGTCCTGGGTATTCATTGGAAGGACTGATGTTGAAGCTGAAACTCCAATACTTTGGCCACCTCATGCAAAGAGTTGACTCATTTGAAAAGACCCTGATGCTGGGAAAGATTGAGGGCAGGAGGAGAAGGGGATGACAGAGGATGAGATGGTTGGATGGCATCACCGACACAATGGACATGGGTTTGGGTGGACTCTGGGAGTTGGTGATGGACAGGGAGGCCTGGCGTGCTGCGGTTCATGGGGTCACAAAGAGTCGGACATGACTGAGTGAACTGAACTGAACTGAACTGAGTTTGAAAGACCTAGGGTTGATATTATTGTATCATTGTGTAGATTATAAAAGAAAAATGCATTGAATTATAAAAGAAGAAAAAGGAACTTATCTATAGGTGACTGATGATGCATCCACCTCAGTGAAGCTATTTAACATTTATAAAAAAAAATGGATCAATATATCTTGACACTTTCAGGAGCACTACAACCTATTGATAAACAAATGGAACAGGATGCAAACACATGTAACCATGCTTAAAAGGATTCAATTATTTTAAACCATATATATACAATAATTCTGTCTGTTCATTTACCCATGTATCCATTCAGCAATCGATTATTTCTATACTTACATCTATAGAAAAGGCTGTCTATCTACCATTCATTCATATGGCTATTTATTACCCTCTCTCCATCTTTGTAAACATAAAAAAAAAAATTCTGAGGATACAAACTAAACTGATAAAAACAGATATGCTGGATGTTGGACTGGACAAGGGAAATTTTTTCTCTTGTTTTGAGAAAAAGTCTCGAGACATTATAATGTCTCATAAGGAGAATCCTGTAATGAATTTTGTGTTCTTAAGTTCTATTTAGTAATTAAACAGAAAGCCCATGACACTATCTCCTTGTTGAAAGTATAGTATCCTATGTCAGAAAATGCTTTGCCTATGTTCTCTTCTAAGAGTTTTATGGTATTATGTTTAAGCCTTAAATTTATTTTGAGTTTATTTTTATGTATGGTATGAGAGTGTGTTCTGACTTCACTGATTTACATGTGACTGTCTAACTTGCCTGACACCACTTGCTGAAGAGACTGTCTTTTCCCCATTGTATATTTTTGTCTCCTTTGTGGAAGATTAATTGACCATAGATGTGTGGGTTTATTTCTTGACTCTGTATTCTGTTCCATTGGTCCATATGTCTGCTTTTGTGCCAATATCATGCTGTTTTGATTACTAGAGCTTTGGAGGATTGTCTGAAGTCCTGATTGTTCTTTTTCCTCAGGATTGCTTTGGCAATTCTGGGTCCTTTATGACTCCATGTAAATTTTTAGGATTATTTGTTGTATTTCTGTGAAAAATGTCATGGGTAATTTGATAGGGATTGAATTAAATCTGTAGATTGCGGTTTCCGCCGCCTCTAGCAGCAGCTCAGCTACCTGAAAGACTCCCGCAGCCGCTGTCCACGCAGCCGCCGCCCCTTCCTCCTCCGTCCCCACCCCCCCTCCCCCCCACTGCCGCCGCTTTCACCTTTTCGGGCCCCTCCGCCACCTCTCCACGACCTAGGCCCTCTGTTCCTGAGAGGAAGCCTTACTCGGGCCCCTTCGCGGGCCGGTGCGCAGCCATGGCTGACGGTGGGTGCGGCGGGGGCACCAGCGCGGTGGGTGGTGGTGGCTCGGACCGGCCTCGGCGGGGGCGGCGGCTGGCTGCGGGGGTGGGCCGGCTCGGCAACCCGCAGCTCATCGCGCTCATCGCGGAGCAACTCAAGAGCCGGGGTCTCTTTGACAGCTTCCGCAGGGACTGCCTGGCCGACGTGGACACCAAGCCAGCTTACCAAAACCTGAGGCAAAAAGTGGATAATTTTGTGTCAACACATCTGGACAAGCAGGAATGGAATCCCACGATGAACAAAAACCAATTGCGAAATGGTCTGAGGCAGAGTATAGTTCTAGTCAGGGATGTTGGAAGCTGGAGTGGACAGAATTATTTCCCAGGTGGTGGATCCCAAACTGAACCACATCTTCAGACCACAGATAGAACGAGCAATTCATGAGTTCCTGGCAGCCCAGAAAAAAGAAGCCGTGCCAGCACCACCTCCAGAGCCTGAAAGTCAGGACCCTGCTGCTCCATCCCAGGACGCTTCCTAAAAATATGCCTGACATGTTTTGGAAGCTCCATTGAATTAACGGTGAAGACCTGGATTCAGTTACATAAGAGCACAACTTCAGAATGAAGACAGGCCGAAGTCCTCACTGACTTCAGAATTCAATGCTGACTGTGGGGCGGTGTCCAGAGGGAATAGGGAGCAAGTGGGGCTATAGAAAAGTTCACCATGTGGGCCCCCACATTGTGCTGCAGTCCAGCTAGCCTGTCCAAGAGGGTGACGCCCCGTAGATACTACAGACATATTAAGAAACACTACATCATTTTGGAGTTTGTCCTGAAGCGAACCTTTGTATTTGAACTTAGAGACTGTGTATGGATTTTAGGGTTTGTGCTTGAGGATAATCAGAAGCTACAGTGAAGGAAACATAACCAGTCCTAAAGATGCAGTTTCAAAGAATTGACAGTAAAAGTTAGCCAGGGGTGGTAGGGTTTTAACAATGCTTATTTGATACTATCAGTTTCTGAGAGTTGCAAATCAGAGTTTACAAGCCAGTAGCATCAAACAGGTCACTGTGACCCCCTTATAGGTGACTCTTTAGCTTCCACTTCCTTTCCCCTGCAAGAGGTGTCAAGAGCAGGACCCTGGAATGCCTGAGGAGATGCAGACTTAAGTGCAAGGAGAAACATTGGCAGGCTCTCCGTCTAGGGCTTCTTCCTGTCCTGCAAGGGCTAGTGAGTTGGGTGTGTTTATTTATTCTCATGTTTGTGTTTAGAAAGTGAATAAAGGGACTTGAGTTTTGTAATTTAAAAAAAAAATAAATAAAAATAAAAAATCTGTAGATTGCTTTGGGTAGTATAGTCATTTTAACAATACTAATTCTTCCTCTATTAGAAAACTTTAATTTGAAGTTTAAATTCCCCATATTTTAAGACATGCTTCTTTCAATTTTTTTGGTATATTACTTTTAATAATATATTAATAGTGGTATACTTTTCTTATTTGATTACACAAAACTAAGTTTAGGATCCTACATGAAAAAAATAGACTTTGGGATGTTTGTTTTGTCCATTCTTTATATTGTGTCTATTTTCTTTTCCCAGAAACAGAATTTTTTTTTTTTTTTCTGTAGTGTATCTCAAGGCTTCATATCAGTTTGCTAGGGCTCTCAAAGTTCTCTGAGTAGACATAATCTAGTGATTTACCACTTACTTACTTATAATACTCTATAGAGTATTCTTGCTTTCCTGATAGCTCAGTTGGTAAAGAATCCACCTGCAATTCAGGAGACCCGGTTCAATTCCTGGGCTGGAAAAAATCTTCTAGAGAAGGGATAGGATACCCACTCCAGTATTCTCAGGCTTCCCTTGTGGCTCAGCTGGTAAAGAATCCACCTGCACTGCAGGAGACCTGGGTTCGATCCCTGGGTTGGGAAGATCCCTTGGAAAAGGGAAAGACTACCTACTCCAGTATTCTGGCCTGGAGAATTCCATAGACTGTGTAGTCCATGGGGTCACAAAGAGTCTGACACGACTGAGAGACTTATTTTATAGAGTATTCCAGAATCCATTCTCAAAGTCCCATATCTTAAGGAACCTACACCTCTTACTGGAAAAGAGGAAGGAATAGTGGAAGTCCTTACCTAAAGGCCCACATTCAATCATTCATCTGTTGTTATTCTCCTCTGGTGTGTATCAGCTATCCGGAAGTTGTGCTATTAGATTTTCAAATGGAGTTCTATCTAGTATCTAAGATAGCATGTATATTTTCTCACATTTCCATGTCCTTTTTGACTTCACAATAGTCTGAAGGATATGTGATCCTTGATTCTTTGCTCTTCATTATAATTACAATTTTAAGCAGCTTTTCTAGTTTATCTAAGAATAATAATCAAAACTGTGATTTGTGATTTGCTATAAAGTATTTTTTTGTTGTTGGACAATTAGCTAATGGATATTTATGAAAACAAATAATTTTATCTTATTACAATGTTTTAAATAAATAATTTACATATTCCTGGTAATATAGCTATTTGAAATACAAAGAGTATAAACCTGAGTTGTCATGGATACATACGTGTAGAAGCTTAGTCCATAAATTTATTACAAAATTGACTTTTCAGTATGTAATCTAGTGTAACCAAAAAACCACTATTGTAATGAGATTCATTTTCTTTTTCACCAAGGTTATTTCATTAAGCATACTGCTCCTTAATTGTGTGTGTGTGTTTTCCTCTAAAGACATTATGTTGCTAAAGGGCACAGTTTAAACTGTGTGTCAGAATGACTGATCAGTAGTTTGGGTTGACTTTTGCTACCTTTCCTTTCACTTGCTGATATGTCAAGTCAGGTCTGTATAAAATCCAAAGAATAATGCTTATTATAATGTGTTAGGCCAACCACTGGGGAGCTCATAGAAATTTAATTGACCCAAACAGGGAAAAAAGGTAAAACCCTTGCTCCTCCAAAAAATGTCCCCAAATTTCACTGTGCTCTGCTTTTTAAGGATACAAGAGCAATTACTAAAAGCAGACTAGAAGCGAAAAACAAATTGATACCTAAGAAAGTAGGGGAAAGAGAATATGAATATGTTGGTGGAACCAGATATAGGTCAGGTTGCCCATGAGCAAAGAGTTAGATAAAAATAATTGGATTTACATGTATTTTACATGTAAATCCATGGCTGATTCATGTCAATGTATGGCAAAAACCACTACAATATTGTAAAGTAATTAGCCTCCAACTAATAAAAATAAATGGGAAAAAAAATTGTAAAAAGTTTTTTAGTTTGTTTGAATAGGCCAAGATTGCATAAGACTAAAATTAAAGTGATCAGGTGAAACTTTTTAAGGTAACTTTCTTGGATAAAACATGTTGCTCCTGGGTACACAGATTTGAAAATCATGAACCTTATTAAATTTGGAACTCTTACTCATTTTTGTGTTTTTTCTTCCCATAAGTTTGGCCAGAAAGTAAGGGATATTTTGCTAAAACAGAGAAAACATACATTTTGTTTGAGAACTGAAAAATATAAAAGGAAGTTTAGAATGTATATTTTTTTCTTAGTATATATATTTTATTGAAGTATAGTTGACTTACAGTGTTTCAGGTGCACAGCAGTTGATTCATTAATCAGTTCAGTTCAATTCAGTCCCTCAGCTATGTCCGACTCTTTGTGACCCCATGAACTGTAGCATGCCAGGCCTCTCTGTCCATCACCAACTCTCAGAGTTTACCCAAACTCATATCCATTGAGTTGGTAATGCCATCCAACCACCTCATTCTCTGTCGTCCCCTTCTCCTCCTGCCCTCAGTCTTTCCCAGCATCAGGGTCTTTCCCAATGAGTCAGCTCTTCACATCAGGTACCCAAAGTATTTGAGTTTCAGCTTCAACATCAGTCCTTCCAATGAACACCCAGGACTGATCTCCTTTAGGATGGACTGGTTAGATCTCCTTGCAGTCCAAGGGACACTCAAGAGTCTTCTCCAACACCAACCCACACAGTTCAAAAGCATCAATTCTTCAGCGCTCAGCTTTCTTCACAGTCCAACTCTCACATCCATACATGACCACTGGAAAAACCATAGCCTTGACTAGACGGACCCTTGTTGGCAAAGTAATGTCTCTGCTTTTTAATATGCTATCTAGGTTGGTCATAACTTTCCTTCCAAGGAGTAGGTATCTTTTAATTTCATGGCTGCAATCACCATCTGCCGTGATTCTGGAGCCCCCAAAAATAAAGTCTGACACTGTTTCCCGATCTATTTGCCATGAAGTGATGGGACCGCATGCCATGATCTTAGTTTTCTGAATATTGAACTTTAAGTCAACTTTTTCACTCTCCTCTTTTACTTTCATCAAGAGGCTCTTTAGTTCTTCTTCACTTTCTGCCGTAACGGTGGTATCATCTGCATGTCTGAGGTTACTGATATTTCTCCCAGCAATCCTGATTCCAGCTTATGCTTCTTCCAGCCCAGCATTTCTCATGATGTACTCTGCATCTAAGTTAAATAAGCAGGCTGACAATATACACCATTGACCTACTCCTTTTCCTATTTGGAACCAGTCTGTTGTTCCACATCCAGTTCTAACTGTTGCTTCCTGACCTGCATATAGGTTTCTCAAGAGGCAGGTCAGGTGGTCTGGGTATTCCCATCTCTTTCAGAATTTTCCAGTTTACTGTGATTCACACAATCAGAGTCTTTGGCATAGTCAATAAAGCAGAAATAGATGTTTTTCTGGAACTTTCTTGCTTTTTCAATGATCCAGCAGATGTTGGCAGTTTGATCTCTGGTTCCTCTGCCTTTTCTAAATGCAGCTTGAACATCTGGAAGTTCACGGTTCACATATTGCTGAAGCCTGGCTTGGAGAATTTTGAACATTACTTTTCTAGTATGTGACATTAGTGCAATTGTGAGGTAGTTTGAGCATTCTTTGGCATTGCCTTTCTTTGGGATTGGAATGAAAACTGACCTTTTCCAGTCCTGTGGCCACTGATGAGTTTTCCAAATTAGCTGACATGTTGAGTGAAGCACTTTCACAGCATCATCTTTCAGGATCTGAAACAGCTCAACTGGAATTCCATCACCTCCACTAGTTTTGTTCGTAGTGATGCTTCCTAAGGTCCACTTGACTTCACAGTCCAGGATGTCTGGCTCTAGGTTAGTGATCACACCATCATGATTATATGGGTTGTGAAGATCTTTTCTGTATAGTTCTTCTGTGTATTCTTGCCACCTCTTCTTAATATCTTCTGCTTCTGTTAGGTCCCTAATATTTCTGTCCTTTATTGAGCTCATCTTTGCATGAAATGTTCCCTTGGTATCTCTAATTTTCTTGAAGAGATCTCTAGTCTTTCCCATTCTGTTATTTTCCTCTGTCTCTTTGCATTGATCGCTGAGGAGGTCTTATCTCTCCTTGCTATTCTTTGGAACTCTGCATTCAGTTAT